CTGGAACACGCAGTTCCAGCCACAACGGCCTCCTAGAAGTTGCTGGGCCTCACAAAGCCTGGCAGAGGCTCCCCCATCACTGTTTCCTCTGACTCGAACATTCTACGTTCAGAGAGCCCCACGGCTCATCTCCATTCAAATACGAGCTTCTCAGGGTAGGCCCTGTCATCACCCCACCCCAACAAACCCTCGCTCCCCACTTTCTGTCTCTCCCCAGAGTGCATGTTCTATAACACACTCTCCATCTTGCTTCTTCGTCTTCCGTGTTTGCTGTAGCTCTAGGAGAGCAGGCGCTCTTGTCTGTCTGTTCGCTGCCATGTTCCCGGTGCCTACAACACAGCAGGTGTTCAACAGATATTTTTAAATGCATGAGAGGCTGAATTTATATCATGCCTCAAAACAAGAAGACTGAGGAATCCAAACTCCTAACAAAGACTGCAGCCGGGATATCCTTGGGTAGCAATCTAGGGGCTTCCCACCTCTATTTTTCTCTTGGTAATATTCTTTTACAGTGCTTCTCACAGACTCTCCAAGGCTGAGTAACCCCAGAAAAACTACTATGAAACCAGCCAGCCAAATATGCATTCCACCCCAAGTGGCTTTGCATTTCCTCCCCCTCATACACACGTGTGCGCACACCCATACACACACACACACACACACACACACACACACACACACACACAACCGAAAAAGGAAAAGTTGAGTCTGTTTTCCATCTAGGCTTTCCGAAAAGTCAATCATCTGTGTCCTCAACAGGTGTATTTATTGAGCAATTTCGGAATAAGTAATGTAAGTATGAGATGAATGGGGAAAGACAGTGCTTGACCTGCAGAAGTTTCTATTTATACACTTCCTAGAGCAGCACCCGGCAGGCACTCGGTTAATGAAAAAAAAAAAAAAAAGACCCACTGCAATCGACATTAAGTGAGATCAGGCTGCCGGTCCTGAGCTGTTTCCACTTTGCAACTAGCATGGACACAAAAATGTCCCTCGACACAGAAGTGAGCTGCAGCCAGCCACAGGAGAAAAGCCCCCAACGAACAAAAGCAAGGGCCCTCCTCACGCAGGGGAGCCACAAACCTTCGGGTTATAAGGGGACTTGGGAATCATCTAGTCTTCCCTGTCCACCTCGCTCCCCTTCATTTTTAGAGATGAGGAAGCTGAGACACGGAGAAGGCAACGTGGGCAAGTGGCCAAGCGACCCACAGGCCACACAAGCCCTTCGTGGTTGAGCCAGACCTGGGACACAGGTCCTCCACGATGCCCAGTCCACCAAGCTACAGACAGGAATGACTTCAACTCCAAATGCTCAGTCTATATAAAAAACACATATTCATCCCCTGCGGAGATGAAGACATGTTTTCTAGGACATGCCGTTTTCTGTGCTCCAGGGAAGGGAGGTAGGTTGGGATGGCAGAGCCGTCCCATGCTGTGCCAAGTGCTATTCACATGAAGTTCACAGCCTGGCAATTGCAGACGTGACTTCCATGAGGCTGGGGTACGACACCGCTCTGAAGCTTTCTCCCCACCCATATACTTCTCCAAATTGTAGGGGTTTTTTTTGCTTCAGAAGTCATGGAAAGATCGCTACAGTAGGGATGGCCTGAAAAGCCTTAGCGAAGACGCCAACAGAAATGTTTACCGCTCCTAATTTGCTGTGACACAATATTTATTTGCTCTCACAGTGTGCCAAGGATTTGCAAACACGTTGTTGATTAATAAACAGTAATTAAGTCTTACCACCTTACTCAGAGACATGGTTAGGTTCTGGGATTCCCTTGTACAGGAGACTACACTGAAGCCTGCAGTTTAAAAGGTTTCCTCCTAAGACCTGACTCAGAGGTGCATGACACAGCCCCGCCAAACCACAAAGCCAGGTCCTTTCCCTTGTGCCGTCTTTTGTTGCCACAATCTCATTTTCCACTCCCACCCTCCAGCAAGGCCCCTCGAACCACACAGACCCAGTAACCTGACCCCATAGCTTCCAACAGTAAATGCTCTGCTCTGTGAGGAAAGACACCTGGATAAAAAAGCCAAATATCAGATCACGACGCCTGGCAAACTGAGTTCTGCTTGGGCCTTTACAATGCCTTATTTTTATCCCCCTTCCCTGTCTTCGGGGATAACCAGGCTTTATTTTAAAAGCATTTTAACACCGTAAGTTGACAGCCTTGCTTCCTACAGGGCTTTCCTGCAGTAGGGTCTGAAAGACAGATGGTGAAGGTGTGATGAACGAAATGATTGGAACTGCAGAGTATTTTGGAAATGAACTTGAAGGCTAACTGCTGATGCCTTTGACTTATGCTACATTTCATTACAAACAAGAGAAGAGCCCAGACTCGAAACCCTCCCCAAGGGAGCAGAGGTGACCTCCATATTAATATGCAGGCCACAGTTGCTGCACTTGGCCCACGGCAAAGCAGACATCCTGAACGTGGGACCCCTTCTAGAAAGTCCAAGGAGACAAAATCGCAACAATCCAAAAGCTTTGAAATGCTTACATATTTAGATAACAGGTTATCCCATAATTATGTTTTCTTTACAATAACATTAAAATTAGCCTTCCAAATACCAAAGTTAAGTCCAATTATTATTAAGCATCTGCCATTACGAAATCTACAGTGTGTCGACCCCATGTAGATAATCAAGAGTTGTTTTGCTCACCTTTGAATATCAGCTCCATCACTTAATAGCTAGCTACCATTTGGCAGGTCGCTTAACCTCTCTGTTGCCTGAGTTTTCTTATCTACAAATCGGGGATAATAGTAAATACCTACCTCATAAGGTTACCCTAAGATTTAAGTGAGTTAATACACGCGGCAGGTAGAATAATGGCTGGTCCTTGGTATACATTTCAGAGTACCACCTATGATTAGCATGACTATTATGTCATTCAGGTGAAAACATCTTGATCATTTCATTGTTTGTCTTTCATTCTTGTAGGTCCGCTGCCAGCACTACAGTGGGAAGTTTCTTTGCAAAGAATTCTTCCCAAGGCAGAAGGCAATGCTCTGGGACCCTAGAAGAGACCTACACCCAAAGCTCCCAGAGAACGTGGCTGGAGTCCAAGAGGCAGTTCTGCCAGAGCTCTACTCCCACACCAGAAGGCAAATGCCCAGCCTTCCGGAGGTGGAAGCCTCCCGCAGTCACCCCCAAACAGCGTGCTATGGTAGGAGCCACTCAATGGAGCCATAGCTCACCCAGCCTTGGCAGCCCGGCCACTGCAGAGGTGCGGCTGCAGGGCCGTCCTGTGGAGCAGGAGTCAGTTGGTGAACGCTGCATCAGTCCACCTACAGGCAGAGGGACCGGTGCAGGCGGCTCAGGCGGGGCTAAGCCAAGCAAAGGAACACACACACACACACACACACACACACACACACACACACACAGACACACACACACACACACACGCTGGGACTCCACTCTCTTCAGCACCCTCATCCACGGTTGCATAGCCAGTCCCTAGATGACAAGCAAAGGGTGTGCTTTCTTGTTTCTTAGTAACTTGAGCATCTCAGAGTCACACCTTCAAACCCGAATAAACCTCACTGGCAATTTTTTTAAAGTTTTGGCCAAAACTAACCCCTTAACTGGCTGCACTGAGATGCAGCCCCAAACCCCTTTTTATTAAAACGCTAAGTCCTTTTCTGTTTTCATTCCTACAAAGGCAGCAAATTGGTACCCTCCCTGGAAGGCAGCACCAATAGTGAGGGAACACTATTCCAGTCCTTAGCACATGCTTTCCTGGGAGCCAGAAGCATGGCCGGGAATGCCACCTCCATGACTTCTCTCCGGGGCACCCACTGCAGATCCACGGCTGGGGGTGAGGGGAAATGACAGAACAAAGGCAGCGCAGTGGACCCTGGGCAGGGGCAGAAGACAATCTAGGTTTGAAAATGTGCTTCTGGAAAAACAAATCAACCACAAGAACAAGCAAAAGGAAGGAAAGAGGGAAGAACAGCCAACAACACACCGATCTTCTTCCCAGCCTAATCAACACCTCCATGAACCCCTGCAAAATGTTCATTTCATACAGCACGTGTGCGTGTGATTTTATGGACACTGACAAGACCCTGATCCACAACAGACAGTGATCATAGAGGGAAGAAAATCACTTGAACTTCAGACGCATCCAGCAGCGCCTGGTTCTCTTTCACTATCAACCTCCCCACCTCTGCCGCGGCGCTCCAAAACAAAAACAAAACCCAACTCGTGGGCAGAGAGGGAACAGCAGCTGAGCTGAGCAGCACATGCTTGGAGCATTCTGTGCCATCGACTTCTGATTATTTCTGCTCTTCTGAGACGCAGCCATCAGCATCGGACCAGATGCGGTCCTGGAGAGCACCGCCTGTACGGCGACAGTCACAGACCCTCCCAGGGGGACACGCACCCCAGCGCGTGCGGCTGAGCCTGGGTGAAATGTCCAGACCCTCAGGTGCGGCTCTGCCCACACGTGACCGTGAACACTGCGAAATTGTCCCCTTCCATGATCGCACGGCCATCCGAAGTCTTGCCTACACCTCGTACGCGCGGATGTCAATTCGATGCGAACGCATGATGTAAGGACAGAAATGGGAATGAGTGGAGGCTCATTTTCCCGTGACCGCGTCCCGGCGCCACAGTGCGCCCGTGCACACTGCGAGTAAACGCGCACGGCCAGTAAGCAGCAGCCACCATGCTCAGCCCACGGTCACGCGTGGCGAGAGCGCGGCGGACAGGGCGGCGGTGACAGGGGAAGTGGGAAGTCGCCCGCCCGCGTGGGCCGGTCTCCGAAAGCGCAGAGCCGCCCCCTCCCCCGCCCGGGAGCGGCGCCCACCGGGGGGCGCAGACCCGCAAGGGGGGCGCGCGGGGGGCTCCGCAGAGCGGAGAACTGGACAATGAGGGCGCGGCGACCGGCCAGGCTCCTGCCGCGGTGGCAGCCACGCTGGTGGCAGCAGGAGCCGCCCGGGCTACCCCCGCCGCGCCACCTCCACCCGCTCTCCCGGGTCCCCACTTACGTTCCGAGGGTCTCCTTGAACTCGAAGATCTTCTTGATGTCTTCAGCCTGCTTCTTCCAGGAGGAGCTGCTCCCGCCGTTCTCCCGGGCCATGGCCGACGAGCGCCGGGGCGGCCGGGGGCGCGCTGGGGAGGGGGCGCCGGGGGCGCGGCGCGGGCGCGGGGCTGCGGGGCTGCGGCAGCTTCCTCCTCTGCAGTTTCCTCTTTCGCTCTCGCCGCCGCGGTCCCTCCCTGGCTCTTATTTCTGCTCGTCTCGGGCACAGACTTCCTGCCGCGGCTGCTCGCCGGCTCCTTTGCCGCCGCCTGCCAGCCTCACTTTCTGCTACTTTCTTGCCTCCCTCCGCCGCCCGCCCCGCTCCCGCCCCC